GCAGAGAGGGAGGGGGCTGCCTGCTTCATGGGGGAGACGCTGGCTGCTTCAGGCTCCTTCTCCTTCTGACGGGTGGAGAAGAGGGGCTGCGTACTTGTCTGTGTCTCCTTACTTCCAAAGGCTCTGTTGCAACTCCCCTCTCTTTTGGGCGGCATGACAGGCACTCATCATGAAGGGTAGCCCAGTCAAATTCCTCCCTCAGCTGCTCTATGGATCTCCCCAGGGATTCTGTCAGGGGCTTTTGGGCCCTGGCCTGTGCCCAATCCCACACCCAATCCACTCTTCCCAGCTTGCTCAAGGGCCTTCCTCCCTTCTGGGCATTTGGGTTGGGGAACTCAACTTCATCTGCTTTAGGGATTTTCTTCCACCAATACTCATCCCTTCTTGCTTCGGTCGCTGGAGCAGGCTTCTCCACTTTGGAATTCAAGGGGGGGGTTGCACTCCGGCTGTAATTATGCTGTCAGCTTCTGTCAGCTTCTGGCTGGAGACCAGGTCTGCTTCTCCCTGGGTTGCCTGGAGCAGGCTCTCTTCTGATAGCCCACCCTCTGCCATGGTTGCCTGAGTTTCTCTCCACGCACCCCAGATGTCGAGGAGCGATAACCCTGGTAATGTTGATTCATTAGAAGAGTTGGCTTGCTGTCAGGGTTCTGGCAATTGCCCTACTTCAAAATGAAATTTGATAAAATACTATTTAAAATGGAATCTAGACAAAATACGATTTAAGATGAAATAGTAATAAAATACAATCCAAAATAAAATTGTAATAATGTCAGGGTTCCGGCAATTGCCGGCATGAGCCTCGAGCCAAGCTTCAAAAGAATCCAAAAGATTTATTCGGAGCAACATGTCAGCATTGTCCCATATGAAGCCAACTCTTGCCACACGTAATCTATGGTCATCTGTGACCCTGTTTCCCCCCCTCCCCACTGGGTGTGTCATAAACCAGACTCCCCAACGAAGCACATTCATGGGCTGGGTGTCATCAATCACATTCTCCAAGGAAGGATTTTTTTATTCTTACAATCTTTGTAAGATAAGCATGGAATGTACTTCTATTTTTTTTTATTTTAAAAGAAAACTTCATTAGATTAAAAAAGAAAAACACTATGTACAATACATCGAATACAACCTTACGTTGTAGACAAAATCTATATATACAAATACATAATAAACATATAAAACATATAAAATATATACTTCTAATCAACTAAGACGGTGTGCTTTTTTCTTGGTAATAATTTTACTACTATTCGTTTCTTATTTGGTAAACATTCTTAATTTAACTACTCCATTCATCAAAAACATGTCTTTTAATTTCCTGGTTTTTTTCTCTTTAATCCACTTATACCATTTATCCCAAGCTGTAATATATCTTGAGTCTTCCTTATTCCTAAGTTTTTGTGTGAGTAGGTCCATTTCAGTGCAGTCAACTATTTTCTGAGTAATCAAATTATTTGTTGGTATTTGTTCATCCTTCCAACATTGTGCCAATGCAATTCTTGCCACTGTGATTATATGGAGAATTAAATATTTAATTTCATTTGCATAGTCCACTTTTAACATTCCCAACAAAAATATTTCAGGTTTGAATTCTAATTGAATACTTCTAATTTCTTTTATCCACAGTCTAATTTTTTTCCAATATTTTTTACTTTTTGGGCAGAGCCACCAAGTGTGGAAGAAGGTAGCCCTCGTTTGCTTGCATTTCCAACACATCGGACTCATGTTTGCGTCAATGTTAGCTAACCTTGAGGGTGACAGATACCACCGGTAACACATCTTATATTGATTTTCTTTATAGATCACCAATTTTATTTTGTAATTTTGATTCCAAATTTTTTCCCAATCTTCCAAATTAATATTGTGCCCTACAATCCTTGCCCATGCGATCATTGGGCCTTTAACTATTTCTTCCACCATTTCATATTCTAACAGGTAGTTATACATTTTTGAGATTAATTTTTCATCTGTTCCCTCCAATATTTTATCTAATTGATTCGGTTTTATCTCAATCCCAAACTCTTCCATGTCTTTTTTATATCTTGTCTTGAGTTGTAAATATGGCCACCACTCTATTTTCATCCCTTGCTCTCTAATTTCTTGATTCATCATTAATCTTCCTTGGGAATTTAGTATATCATAATACATAATTTTTCTTCCAGTTTCTAGTACGTTGGGGTGGATCAATGCCTCCATGACAGAAAACCATCCTGGGATCTTCATATAATGTTTGTGTTTAATTTCTTTCCACACCTTTAATAATGAACATCTAATTATATGCCTATTAAAGTGTGTGTAACTTTTATTTCCCAGGTTCCACATGAAGGCATGCCACCCCGCTTCCAAATCATGCCCTTCTAAAATTAAAACTCTTTTGTTTTTCAAATTGGCCCAATCCTTAATCCATGTTAAAATTGCCGCTTTATAATATAGTTCCCAGGCAGGGAGCCCAAATCCACCTCTGCATCTATTAACTTGTAAGGAGCTTAATTTTATTCTTGGATTTTTTCCTGACCAAATAAATTTCATAGTAATTTTATTTAATTCGTTAAAAAAAAATCTAATTTAATTGGAATATTTTGAAAGAGGAATAATATTCTTGGCAAGATGTTCATCTTAATAGTCGCTATTCTTCCTAGCATTGATAATTGCAATTTCCCCCATTTTTCTAAGTCTTTTTTTATTTGTCGTACCAATTTTACGTAATTATCTTATTTTATTGTTGAACATCTTGCCATGAGCCAAATTCCTAAATATTTAATTCTTTTTACAATTTATAAGCCCATTACCTCTTCTAATTTCTTTTTTTGTTTCTCTGTTAGATTTTTTGTTATCATTTTAGTTTTATCCTTATTAATTGTTAACCCTGCCACCTCTCCATATCTCTCTATCTCTTTAATTAATTTTGGTCCTGATTTTATTGGTTCTTCTATGAAGAACACAAGGTCGTCTGCAAATGCTTGGGCCTTGTATTCTTCATTTTTAATTCTTAATCCTTTTATCTCCATATTCTGTCTAATTTTTCTCAACGAAGTTTCCAAAGTGGTGATAAAGAGCAGAGGTGAAAGTGGACATCCCTGCCTGACTCCCTTTTCTATTTCAAATGAATTAGTCATTTCTCCATTAATTATAACCTGGGCTTGTTGGTTTGTATATATTGATTCTAACATTTTTTCAAATTTATCCCCAAATTTCATTTCCTTTACTTGTTGCCTCATAAATTCCCAATTTACCTTGTCAAAGGCTTTTTGAGCATCCAGAAAAACTAGTGTAGCCTGTTTTTCTGGATGACCCTCATAATATTCCAGGATATCTAGTACTGTTCTTGCATTGTTTTTAAGTTGTCTTGTTGGAAGTATGTATATATCTACTTAGTATTTTTTTTTAGTCTCTCAGCCATTAAATTCATAAATATTGTGTAGTCTGCATTCAACAAAGAAATTGGTCTATATTTGTTTATGTGGGTGATATCTGCACCCTCCTTCGGTATTAATATGATGTACGCTTCTCTCCACGGCCTTGGTAGCTCTGCCCCTTTAAGTATTTCATTATAGATTTCTAAAAGAATTGGGTCAAGAATTTTGCCTAAATTTTTGTATAACTCTGCAGGTAAACCATCTGTTCTGGGAGTTTTATTGTTTTTTTGTTTACTAATTGCTTCTTTTATTTCCTCCATAGTAATCTCTTCATTTAATCTTTCCCTTTCTTCTTCTGTTAGTATTGGAATATTTTCTTCCTCTAAATACTGTTTAATTCTCTCTTTACTCATATTTTCTTGTTTATAGAGTTCACGAAAATATTCCAATACTATTTCTTTTTTCTTTTCCATATTATTTTGTATCTTTCCCTCCTTATCTTGGAATTGCTGTATCCATCTCTTCTCTTTTTCCTTTCTTAACCTATATGCAAGCCATCTTCCCGGCTTATTTGCATTTTCGAAATAATTTTGCTTTACTAAATTCAATGCTCTTAAATTTCTTTCCTGTTCTAATATATTCAATTTATGTTTAGCTAACTTACATTTATTTATAATTTGCTCATTTTCTGGTGCTAATTGTGCTTGTCTTTCCAATTTTCTAATATCATTCTGTAACTCGTTACTTTCTTTTTCTCTTTCTTTTTTCTTTCTAGCATTATATGCAATTGTTATTCCTCTTAGATAGGCTTTCGTTGTATCCCACAGATTCTGTAAAGAGGTGTGTTCTTTTTTATTTACATCAAAAAACATTTCTAATTCTTTTTTTAATTTTGCTATATATTCTTTGTCTCTCAGAGTCTGTGAGTTCAACGTCCACCTTCCTCTTTGTTTTGATTGACCTTTCCATATTACTATTATGGGGTTATGATCTGCCCACATATTTGTTGCTATTTCTATTCGTACTATATCTTTCATTAGGGTTTTACTTATCCATGTCATGTCAGTTCTTGACCATGATTTGTGGGGAATAGAATAAAAGGTGAACTGCTTTTCCTTTGGATTGTATATTCTCCATATATCAATTAGGTTCTGTTCCTCTATCATGTTAAAAATGTTTTTGGAAGTGTGTTTTTCTTTTTTTTACTGGTACTTTGATAATCTTTTTTTATATCCAAGACTGTGTTGAAATCCCCTATTATGCAAATTTCTTCTTTGCCCAATTCAATAATTTTTTCATGTATGTTTTTGTAGTATGTTTCTCGTTGTTTGTTGGCAGCGTATATTACAACTAATAGAATTTTCTTCTGTTCCCATACTACTTCTAATATTAATGTTCTCCATACTGAATCTGTGTATAATACTTCTACTTCTTTTCTAACATATACTGCTACTCCTCGTATAATTTTCCTAATTTTTTATATTGCAAAAATATCTTATCTTGGGCTCTAACATGTACTTCCTGAAGACATACTATATCCATTTTTTGTTTTGCCAATTTTTTCAGAGTTTGATTCCGTTTTGATGGGGAGTTAAGTCCATTTATATTTACTGATAATATCTTCAAATTATTATCCATTTTCTCTCTTTGCCTTTACCAATTAGTTCCTGTAATTCCTTGCTTCTGTTTGTGCTCTTGTTCTTATTCTGTTTTCTTCTTGTGGTCTTCCTTCCTTCTTCCTTTCCTCCTCTTCCTGCTCTGTTCCATTCTTTTCCAGTTGTTGATGATCTTGACTAGCCGATTCCAGTTCTTCTGTGCTACTACTGAGTTCCTCTGTGCCTAATAGTTGTGCGTAGAATTCTTTTGCTTTCTCCAATGTGTCGATCTTGACTTTCTTCCCTTGCCACGACACCAACATTCCCTCTGGTGTAATCCACCTAAACAATATATTATTTTTGTTGAGTCGGGCGGCCAGAAAGTGATAATCTTTCCTTTGTTCTTGAACTCTTTTTGGGATCTGTTTTAACGTTATGATCTCTTTACCTTTATATGTCATAGGTTCCTCTCTAGTAATCTTTTTTTTAAACAAATTTTATTGATTTTCAAAAACAATACACAGACAAACAAAACATAAAACATAAAAACATAAAACATCTTTTCTGAAAGCAGCTTGATCCCGGGTTACATCTCTTCGTACAGACACAAATTCAAATTCATGCTCATTTTATATACCATTCCATATCTTATTGCCATTTTACATTTTCTATATAGCTTTCCTCCTCTTTTAACTTTCTTGATTTTATTTTATTTATCTCATCTCAGTTCAGATCATTATGCCTATTATTCTTTGTCTGTCCTGTTTCCAGCTATCTATTATCTTTTCCCTTTAAACAAAATTTCTCCTGTACACTGATTGGAGTATGACACCTTTATCTCTTTCCCCTAAATTTATAACTCTTAGTATAGTACATAACTTCCATTTGGATTCTGCTTAGTACATTCTAAAGTTACACACTATATTTTTTTAAAAAAGAAAAGATTATAAATATGTAATATAATTAAAACAACAATCCATACCAATTCAAATCCATCATTAATATTAATATTCATTTAAATCTTGAACATTTTACACATTACTTTTCAGTTGAATATCATACTTTTATGGGAACACTTATCATTAAAATGTTCCCATTCCTTCCTAATTCAATTCTCTCATTTATTTCATTGCCTTCCTTTTGTTCACAAAAATTTCACTGAATTACACTGAATATTTTATCCCACTTTTTAATCACATGTTGTTTCCAATTTTCTAACATTATTTATAATACAAATATAACAATACAATCTTATGTACCTTTGCAGAATCCCTTTTTCAATTAAATTTTACCCATTATCTCTAAATAAATCCTGTTTCTTTACATCTTGCTCCACACCATTGAAACTTCTCATCCCTTCCTTCCTCCCTTGCTTCTTCTCCCTGCCCTTTTTACCTCCTTGTCTCTCCACCTCCATTTCCCTCTTCTGTATTCCCCCTTTCTGTTGTTTTCTAACATTATATCCAGTTTTCACCTTATTTTTCCCTTTTTTGGTTGTTTTTTTAGATCTTAAAGTCTCCATTTTCTTTTCCTCCTTTCCCCTTTCTTCCCCAAGTAAAGTTACTTGTTCATCAAAGATGGCTTCTTCTTTGTCCCAATCATCTTGTTGCGCAGTCAGTTTCTCATAGGTACAAATCGCCATTTCTAAGAATTGAAAAAGAGAGCCAAGAGAGCCCTTCCCTTCTTGTTCCTCTTCTTTATATTTTTTGAATTCAATTTTCAGTTCATCCACAAGTGATGCCATTGTAGAAAAAAAAAACTTTTTTCCAAACAACCACCCAAATGTTTTTAGTCCTTCAAAAATAATTTCCAAAAGTCCCAAAATCACCAAACAGTCCAAATAAGCTGTTTCTTTTAACACTTTCTTCTTTCTTCACTTTCTCTTCCTGGGGTTACTGTTTAGTTACCAAATTCCAGTTAAAATGTATCTTTTAGAAGTCTTGTTAGTATTTAATAATTCTTTTAAGTTCTAGGCAATCTCCTCCTGTCTTCCAAATCCTGCTCCTATTCTTTTCCTCTTCCTTCCCACTTACAGCAAAAAAAATTTTTTTTAAATGTTCAGAAATCCTTATTATCCCCTTGACATTTAATTTTCCAGTTTAGTTACCTATTGATGCCAAAGCGGGTTTTTCCGATTTCTCATTCTTTTCTGTTCGCTGTCAACGTTAGGAAGGAGAGTGAAAAAAAAAAGAACTTTCCCTTTTAACTTTCATTCGCTGCTTGCAAGTCTTTGGGAACGATGTATCTTTTGCAAATTTTAAAATCCAGGGTACCTTAGTTGTTACTTTGTGTCCCGATCAGCCAAAAAACTTTCACTTCTTAACTTCCTCCTGCACTTTCTTTCCCGGCTGAGTGCTTTTTTGAGGTGGCCATTTCTGACCACCGCTCTACCGCCTTCAGAAAACGGAGTTTAGCCAGCTGGGGAGGAGAGGTGCGATTCCTCTCGACCCTGCCCGATCTCCCCTGTCTTCACCACCTTCTACGGGGTGGCGAGCACAGGCAGAAACCGCGCACGATCGCGGATTCCTGCCTGCCCCGAAGTGCTGCAAACCGGAACTCCCTCTAGTAATCTTGTAAATTATGTCACTCACCTTTTTCCGAGCAAAACGAATGTGAACCTCTTTTGGCAGTCTGAATCTTCTGGCGTAATTTGTATAGACTCGGTAGACTTCGTCTAATTCATTGATTATCTCACTCTTCTCTCTTTGAAGTGTTTCCGCAATAGTCTCTGCCATCATGTCTGTCAGGTCTTCCTCCTTCGTCTCTACCACATTCTGGAAATGTAAGTAAAATGAGGCCCTCTCCATCTCCAACTGGATCAGTGAGTTCTCTACTTCTTTGTATCTTTCTTGCATTCTTTCATCTGCCAACTCTAATTTTCTTTCTGTTTTTTCCATTCTTTTTTCAATCGTTTGGAGTCTTTGTTCATTCTTTTGTAGAACTTCTTGAATCTGGCCAACTTTCTCATCCAACTTCTGAATATCCTTTCTCACTTCTTTCTTCACCTCCTCCATCTGTGTTTTCATTTCTCCATGGTTCTTAGTCATGTTTTCCTGTAATTTCATTATCGTCTCCTGAATTGTTAACAGTGTAGCTTGCATGGTCTATGTATTCGTTGTAGCTGTTGTTTTCTCCATTGTGAGCATCCCTTCAACGGATAAAGATCCAAGTGTTGATGGCGATGAAATCGCTGTAGCTGTTGTCGAGGTGGGTTTCTTCCTGGTCTTCACTACTGTTGTTGTAATGCTTGTCATTTCATGAATTAATTTGGTTTGTTGTCCTAATATTCTTTCTATATTATCCCACAACACCATTCAATGCTCACTATTTCTCTAGATTCTGTCACAGTCCTTATTCTTCCCTGTAATATGCCCTTCTATGACTTATATTGAATCTTAAATAAATCAAGAATTTCACAAATTAATTAATCTGTACAGTTATACCAATCAATCCCAAAATCCAAAGTTATTTATATTAATTCCTTACCACTGCATTACTTTTTAATATTCTTATATATTTCTATTTATTTTTACCTCAAAACTTTATATTACTTTAATGTATTAAATATTAAACTGTTTAAACAATTAATTACTTAACAATTAAACTTATCTAAATAGATTATTATCACTAATAGTCAATTTAAATATATAAATTTACTATACTTATTTTACAGTACATTTAATAGCAATAAGGATTTACTAATATCAGCAAACCATACAATTCCCAGGATAATTCAATCAATAAGTTTCTTAGAAAATCTCTATCTTAAGTTCTTTAACTTATGTTATAGTATATAGCAGTTAGTTTAGTCACAGTACTTTTAAATATACAGACAATATTTCTAATATTCTGTGTTTTACTTCTAGATATTAAATGTTTAAACCGTTAATTAATTGATAGTTTCACATATACTTATACTTAGTTACCTATCTCCAACAATTAATATAACTCTATAAATTAATGGTTCTATGTTTCAATATATCTTTAGCAACAATTATACTTTACTAAGAAGTACAAATAAACAATATACAGTATTTAGAGTCTAATCAATATATAATTATATAAACCTAAATATATAAGGGTTTTTATCACAAGATGCCGCTAAATATCAAACGTTACAAAAGTAAGAAAAGAAAGAAGAAAAGAAAGAAAAGATCAACCACAATGTTCTTATATGTATTATAACCACAGATAACAATTAATTTTAGGTTTGAAAGTTCCAATCAGATTGCTTAAGTCTTACTGTAATATTAGTGGCTGTATACATAAAGGGTTAATTTTTACTTTCCACCTTCAAAATGTCTGACTCTCCAAATTCTGCACTGTCACAGTCAATCTCCTTCTTCTTTAGCCTTTATATCTGCTTCTTTGTATCGTTTGTTGTTACAATGATCAAGGAAACTCAAAGTCCACTTCTCTGTTTCAATCAGTTCACTTTCACCTTCCCTTTCAAATCACAGTCAAATCACAGTCAGTCTATTACTTTCCCTTCTTGTTTGTTCTTTTCTTCTCTGCTGCTGGCAACACTATTCGCCATCTCCCTTTTCCGCTCACCTCACTATTAGCTCTGTCCGTGTGCCACTTAGAGCTTTCTCCTTCGCTGTCTCTCTCTGGGCTTGCTCTTTCTTCAGCACTTTCCACCAAATCAAACACCTCTGCTCTCACCACTTTTAGCGCACCGTTCTCTCTCTTCACTTCCCTTTTCTATTTTGTGAGACGTCGGGTCTCCAGGTCGGCCATTGACAGCTGACACTTCAGCTCCGGCTTTGAGGGCTCCTCCGTTCGCATCGCTGAGGATCACACCTTCCCACTGTAGCTCCGAAGGTTCCCCTCTTCCTCACCAATCCCCCCAGGACCGATTTTTGCCTCGGACGGCCACCCGACTGCTGACTTTCAGCAACGAGGAGCAGAGTGCTGTCTCCCCGTGCTGCTTCGAACCCACGTCACACCAGAAGTCCAGAATGTACTTCTATTTTTTTATTGCCGTACTGCTCCTTCAGATTCCCCCCCCCCTCCTGCTTATGGCAACTGAGAAACAGGCATAGGAATGCTTTACGAGTTGACAGCATTCTTACCATCTAGCCAACTAACCAAGGCAAACCACCTTGCTTCCAGGAATCCCATACAGATGGTGACCTCGAACGTGGCTGGCTGGAAAGGGATGGTTGATAGTAGACTAATGAACTTTCTTTCTAGATTCAATGTAATAGCCATTCAAGAAACCTGGTTAACCGCAGTGGATGAACCAGTACAACTGTCAGGCTTTCAGGAATGGTCCTCCCCAGCCAAAAAACCAAAATACAAAGGGAGACCCTATGGTGGGTTATGCAGTCTTATAAAGCAAGAATTGCAATGGGAGGGGGAGAAACTGGAAAATGAAAAGTATTCATATTTCCTAACTGTCAAGTTTGGATACAAAGAGTTTGAGTTAATACTGGTAAATGTGTATATCCCTCCAAACACATCCCGGTATTATAACTCCTGGATAAATTGGAAGTTATCCTAGATGATATATCTGTATTATATCCCCAGTCCAGTGGTGGGATTCAGCCAGTTTGCACTGGTTCACTAGAACTGTTAGCTAAATTTTTGTTCAGTTCGATGAACCAGTTGAGGCCTTGGCCCTCCCCTCACAACCCCTCCTCCCCTCATACTTTGGGTGAAAGTAAGGGACTATTGATAGCCTGCTGTCACTCTTCAGAGTTTGGCCAGCAAAGGAAGAGACCACGCTGAGGGTCTTGACTTGGCTTGGCACACAGTGAATGCACACACAAAAGTTGTTTCTAGACAGCATTACCGGCTTCCGCCGACCAGCTGGCTATGAGGGTGGACACGCCCCGATCACACCTGCTGCCTGCCTGCTCCCGCAAGCACTCTTCGCTGGCTCTCTGCAGGCCCCAGCAAACCTAGATTCATGGCCTCTGATCTGGCTGCAGCTGTCTCTCTCTTCTGGCCTGCTCCAGCAAACATTCTTTGCTGGCCTGATCCAACAAGCACTCAATACTAAATGGGCATTTCTCAGGATGCTGCATTGTCCATTTAATGCAACCACATGGGATGATCACAGAACACAAATGTATCAATTGGAAACTTCTCATCTTGTACTTTTCAGCCCTAGACAATCATAGTATTTGCAGAGTCCTTGGGGGAAATATTTGTTTATTGGAACCACTCATCAGACAAAAATGTAGAACAAAAAATGCTATCTGGTCCCCATACAGTCCTCTTTGTCCATTAAATGGACAATTCAAACATCTTTTCCTGCAAGATACAGGCCATGTTATGTACCAATAGCTTTGCCCTGCCCCTTTTCTTGTTTTGAATTTCCTGTCCAAAGGTGATTGGATTTTTTTGGCTTGGAACCAAAGGTATCTAGGCTCAGACTGTCCCTTCTTCTGTCCCAGAGAGGACATTTTATGGTGATATAGTTTTTTTCCAGATAAATAATTGATGGGTATTAGTTATGAGGAAGACGATGTCTCTTTCAATAACAGAAATTAAAACTATTTTATTTCAACAAGAAGTAAAAAATATACAGAGAAAATTGGGATAAGTAAATGAAGAGAAAAATCCAAGAAATGTTATTACAGTGCATTTATCATGTTTTTCTTAGAACAATTAGCTGTAGTAGTAGTAATCAAAAACACAACATGCAAAATTTGCAATAATCTTTGTATTTTGGTCAACTGTAGGTGTTAGGTATAACATTGATACCCAACAAGGTTTGGATGGATAAATATATAAACTAAGGTATCATAGTTTAAGTGTTTGTAACTTTAAGCACCACACTGCATGTAATTAGCCAATTAAGGGTGCGGTTAGAAACTGCAATAAGAGGAAGCAGGAGAAAGCTGGAAAGCTTACTGCTTACTGCTTTACTGTTTACTGTTTACCGTTTGCCGTTTGCTGTTTACTGCTGTTTACTGCTGGATACAACTGTTTATTACTGTTTTACTGCGACTGTCTACTGTTTGATCGTCCTACTGAATATCCAGCATTATCCTCTGGAGAAAAGCATCGGAGGAGGAGAAGATATCTTTATCGGCTGATAAAGATATAGTAAGGACTATTACCTGGACTGAGTTAGTGAGTCTTACTGAATGGATATATTGTGAATGACATACGGACTGATTGACAATGCTTAAACTCTAACTGGATTAAAAACTATTTAAACTACAAACAGTGTTTGTGTTCAGTGTGTGTATACTCTAAAACCCTTCATCTCTCATTTGGCTGCCTGGCTTGACTGCTGCTGCATACTCTGCTAGGGGTTTATCCCCAAACACTAA